CCCTTTTGACTAAAATTAGATGAGATCTGCAGCGACATCATTTGGCACAGATTTTCCTTATGATACACCGTAGAGATGACCTTCATCCTCAATGGTAAATGGATCAAGGAAGTCTTTGATTGCGGTTTTTGTCATCTTTATGTCTTTTTCTATACTTGCTATTTGTGCCTTTCCAAGGTCATTATGGGTGTCACGCTCATCTCATCTCTAGATAATAGATTGTTGTAACCATCTCATCCATATAAATTACTTTTTGTCTGTATGGCCCATATTGCAAATCCTCGTAGTGAACCACCAGATGGACCTGAATGGAAACTAAATGACTCCATATCTTACCAGTGGGTATTGACTGATATTCTCATACAAGAGATTGGTGATATAGCAACACCAGGAGATGAATCAGAAAACTCCAGAAGATGTACCCTATGAAATCCAGAATCAAAAAGATGAGATTTATACTTAAGGCAGATTAGATCTACACATTCTAATTCTGTTACTACTCACCCCTGCCTAAATGTAAAAACTATAATACTTACACAGATGTATTTACCAGAAATGCTTGACATAAATTATAATAACAGCAGTTCAGTATAACTATGAATGTATCTCAAAAGTCAAGTTCAATTTTGTATTTATACAAAGAACCAATCATCTACTATTGTTAGGGTGACACTCCTTTTGATCATTTATAAATATGTAATTGTATGGTGTTTGACAAATCCTGTAAATTGTAATATCCCATATATTGAGATGAATATGAAGAAGACCCAGACGATGTGCCCCATGAAATCCAGAACTATGCAGATGAGATTTATACTTAAGGCTGATTACCTCTGCCTCCTCCCTATTCTGTTACTACTCTCCCCCATCCTCCCCCAGGCAAGAACTATTACAATTAGATGTGCATTACTAACCAGAAATGCTTGAAATTAAGTATAATCAAAGAAGTTGTAATGTAAATGTATCTCAAAAGTCAACTTAGACTCTGTATTTATAGAGAATTAATCTATGATAAGGGCGACGCCCACTTTTGATCACTTGAGTAATTCTATAGTCTTTATACTTACCAATCATGCAGAATTATAATATCCTATATGAATGTGAAGAAGACCCAGAAGATGTACCCCATGAAATCCAGAACTATGTAGATGAGATTTATACTTAAGGGTGATTAGCTTTGCCCTCTTCCAATTCTGTTACCCCCCCCCCCATCTACCCCCTCCCCAATGCAATAAGTATAACACTTACATGTACATTATTTACCAAAAATGCTTCATATTTAGTATAACCAAAGAACATCATTATAAATGTATCTCAAAAGTCAAGTAAAACTCTGTATTTTTAGAGAATGGCAATCATCTAGTATGATAAGGGCGACGCCCACTTTTGATCACTTATGTAATTGTATGGTCTTTGACACTCCCCAGTTATGTTAATTGCAATATCCTTTATATTTAAATAAATGTTTGAACTGCCCTGGTAATTTTGAAAATGCTAAAATGTTCTGATATCTGTTGATTTGAAAAATAATCCACATTCTAATAGTTCTAAATAAATTCATCTGGTTAGTCTTTCTAAATTAATCATATTTTCCTTTTGTCTTAACCATACCTTGTTTTTTAATTTGTGACGTTTCGTCCAGCATGGTCGCTTGACTTTTTCGAACTGCTTGAAGTTGATACTTGATCTTGAGAGTTAATTAGCACTTTATTCCACAAACTTGATAATTCGTGATTGCCTGAGTCTCTATTCATACACTGTTTTTCTTTCTTTATGTAAATTGCCTCTTTTATCCACCGTTTATTTCTCTGACCTTCATTGTCTATAACCTTGACGTTATCCCAATCAACTACATGGTTCATCTGACGCACATGATCAGTGACTGCTGATTTCCCATATGATGACTGGGCTTCTTTCCTAACACTTCTTGTATACCTAGTCAGTCCACAATCAGAGACATCTTTCTTATGTTCTGATAGTCTTATATCTAATTTCCTGCCTGTCTCTCCAATATATACTTCTTTACACGAGCTACATGGTATTTCATAAACTACATTTGACTTATCTACCTCACTTACTACTATCAGAACATAAGAAAGATGTCTCTGATTGTGGACTGACTAGGTATACAAGAAGTGTTAGGAAAGAAGCCCAGTCATCATATGGGAAATCAGCAGTCACTGATCATGTGCGTCAGATGAACCATGTAGTTGATTGGGATAACGTCAAGGTTATAGACAATGAAGGTCAGAGAAATAAACGGTGGATAAAAGAGGCAATTTACATAAAGAAAGAAAAACAGTGTATGAATAGAGACTCAGGCAATCATGAATTATCAAGTTTGTGGAATAAAGTGCTAATTAACTCTCAAGATCAAGTATCAACTTCAAGCAGTTCGAAAAAGTCAAGCGACCATGCTGGACGAAACGTCACAAATTAAAAAACAAGGTATGGTTAAGACAAAAGGAAAATATGATTAATCCACATTCTATATTATGTACAGGTACAGGTTTTACCAAAATTAAGGATTTTCTCAGCAAAAATTGTGGTTTCCATGGCAAACATGAGTGACAGACCATTGAAAGTTTGCATACTACCTTAAAATGATCTCATCAACTCTCGATAAAATTATTATGATGATTGAACACCAACTGAATGAATTATTCAATGATGATAATGTAACCCCTGTAATTTTCCTTTTTAGGGTCAAAAACCAAATTTTGACAACTTTCGCCCCGGATACGCGCATCAGACAAAAAATTTCTGAAGTATCACATAAAAATACATAAGAAACAAGTAATTTCAATTTGTTCAGAAGCGGGTACATTTTTCGGTGCTACCTCACTAACAACTAGACGTGGCATGATCACGAATGAAAGAGGAACTGAAAACTAAACATTAATTATGAGGTGAATCTGTTCTTTTAAAAAAATAAAATAAAAAAAATAAGGTGAATCTGTTCATCAGAGTTGTTAGCCTATAACGATGTATCATTAAAAGTTATGACAACACTTCTTTCAAAATACATAATAATATCTGACTTTAAATTAAGTTAAAACCACCTCAAACAAAATGGAAACTCCATCACTCACTAAAGAAGAAGCGGTAACCTTTCTCTCAGACGTTCTACAGTTTGAAAACTGGAATGAAGAGCTACAGAATGATAAGGTTGAGTTTGTCAATCATTTAATAATCAAATACCAGCAGAAACAACCATTTCAGACACTATCATTATTAAGTGAAGATCTAAACGCTCGGAAAATACCAACCTGGGAAGAAATTAAAACTGCAATTTTTACAAAGGAAGGAGGTCTGTGCCACACGTTGAATACATTTATTTCGATGTTGCTTAAGGCACTAGGGTATGATGTGTATCTGGTTATGTCGAATGTTGTCATAAATGAACAGTGCTTTAAAGAAACATTCAACCATACATTGGTGATAGTGCGAGATCTTACAGTCAAAGGAAGCCTGCATGTTATTGACTGTGGTTTTGTGACGCCAATATTAAATGCTATCATAATTGAAGACCCTGCCCAAGACCAAGACAGTCTTAATGAAATGATGTATCACAATGGCGGTAAAATTTTCAAATATGTCAAAAGAGGTTCAAACACATACGTGCGATATGATATGTCTATCAATAACAAAAAGGAACGAAGGGAAACAATCAATGATTGGCAAATGTCTTATTGGTTTAACATCCAGCCGAATAATTTTGCAGATTTTTACGAACATTCAGCAATGAGAGTTTACCTTGGTGTTCGTACCACCCTGGAGGCAGACTCGGGGGACCTCTTACATTACACCATAATCTTAACAGGGTTAGAAGGAGAAAGAAGAATTACAATAATAAACCATGAACTCATGGTTCAGAATGAAGAAAACATCATGGAGGCTAGTGACATACCCCAAGATGAACTGAGTGATTATATCATCAGATATTTCCCAGGTTTCAAAGGTAGAGAAGATGTTATAAAGAAGGCATTTGAAAATATGGAGAAAATTAAAGAAAGACTAAAAGAGGTCATAACAATTCAAGTAAAATACATATAATATAAAATACAAAAATACATATAATATAAAATACAAAAAGTACCTGAGAAATTCTAATTTGATAGGGCTTCAAATACAAATAGGCAATTTTTGTATTTACTGAATGATATCCTGTGTATTTTGTATTTTAAATGTTTTGAATTAAAAATTATGACTTACACATTTAACATCACAGGCTGGTATCGAAAGATTTGTCCGCTGTGACGGAGCATGCTATTTTTCATAAAAACACTAAGAATGCTTCACGATTTATTTTTTAACTCATATGTTTCGTTATATCAAAGATAATTACTTACTCCATGCAATGGATATATCATTTGCGTGTAATAGGCTAGGCAAATGGAAGTTTAACATCCCAAAAATTGCAACAGTTTTTAAATTAGGCTTATATTGTATATTGATACCAGTTGAAAAACATATCAAAAATATAGAAAAATATATGCAGTGGACAAATATGAAATGTCACATTCCAGGTACCCCCCTCCAAATTTGAGTATGGGATTGTAAATATTTTTTTATTTCAAAATGGAATACTCTTGTCAACTAAACGAGTAATATTATGATAGTTTACTGACATAAGAGCAACTAAAAATTGTTAACCAACTATTTGAGTGCAATAATTGGCATTTTTAGCGCCAAATATCTGAAAATAGGCCATCAAATAGCCCGAATTTAATATAACAATGTATTTATTTCTGTATCAATTCAAGTAGTCAGGGTACACGTATGGGCGCCTTAGTGCCGCCTGAGTGCACACAGTAGGCCCCCGCAGGGGGCCTACTTTGTGGATGTGGCCCCTACGTAGGCAACAGGTTTATCGTGTGATCAGGCTGACTGCCTAAAGTAGGTCCCGTGTAGTACACAGTAGGCCCCCGTAGGGGGTCTGCTGTGTTATCACGCCTGTCCACGGTAGGCCCTCGGGTAGTACACAGTAGGTCCCCGTAGGGGGACCTAGTGTGTAATCAGCTTGTCGCCCGATAGGCGATAGGGTTAAGAGGTAGTTCAGGCTGAGTGGTCGCGATGGGGGATGTACTCTAGGCGGGTCTTGGGTTTATTTTAAAAATTGTTCCGCTAAGAAGGGAGAGTGTTTTAAATGGCTACGTGGTCGGTGGTTCGTGTCGGCTGATCGGCGGGTGGTGTGTGAAACGATATTTATAAATGTATCGGGGTTATTAAGAGAGAAGGCGTTATACGGTGTTAGGAGGGTCATCGACACATGTCGTTTATTTCGCTATTTAATAAACACGATTACTTATAATTATACATGTCGTCTTGTTTATCTATATTTACACATTATCGCGGCTACGGTTCAAATGTCCCAGTTACATTCTAGTTGACAGCTTTAGCGTAGATCGAGTCGAAATAGTCCTTCGAAGCTACTTTGAAATAGGGGCAGCTCCCCCGTCCAATATCGATCGTCGTCGATACTAAAGTGACATCTCAAATAGTATTCGTCCGCTCTGTTCGTGCATATTGCTTTGTATTGGTTCAACGACAGGGGATTGCTCTGCTCCCTCAAATAGTCGCATTGGACTTGTACGGGCAGTTCGCCCCAATGCTCCCTTATGTCATTTATCATATCGCGATCGCTGGTATCGAAATCGTGCATATTCTCCCTTAGAATCCAGAAGTCCTCCGTGATATTGCCGGGGGGTCTGTTGGCAATACTGAGAGCCGTCAGTATTAGGCACAGATCAATCTGTGTGGAGGTAAACGGCGTTGTGAATTTTGTGGACGCGTGAATTTCGTAGAGCATGCGATCCCAGTCTCTTTCTGGCTCTGCTCCGAACCATAGTGGCAGATCGTCGACGGTGGCGAACGTTATCAGGGCCCCATCTTTCGGCCGTCGAAATAATACCAGGCTGAATCGGCTCTTACATCTATTCTGTGGAACTCCCAATAGGCCACAGACTGCCGAAAGTAGCGTGTCCATTGCGGCCTCGCATTTGTACAAAGTCAGTCTGATGTCCACTCGCACCACATAACCAGGCCGCGACGATCTAGATTTGCCGTGTTTGTTCATAAAGCCGCTAGGTCCTTCACCGTGTTCGTGTCCCGCTGTTTCGTACATTTTGTTGTAAAACTGGTAAGCCGTTTGGGGTGCTATGGAGCAACATTGACAGTTATTGGCGTAGTCTAATTCTCTCTGTGTGTGCGTTGTATGCTCGTAGTCGCAGTTGGCGCCTAGTCTTTGCAACGCCTCACCCAGTGCTCCCCTGAAATAGCACAGATTACTTGTCGTCTCAGCCCCTTTCGTGTCCACTATAAGCTGTAGCTCAAGTTTCAGGGCATGGTCCTCCACCGCTGGTGTATACACTGTTTTTAGCGCAGTTGATACGCTACATAACTGCCTGAAATCTGTGCTGTCTACTTCCATCCCGTGACTGCGTAGATTCTCCAAACACAGGTGTTGCAGTGATTTTGCCATAGTGCAATTCTTGACCTTTGTCGTTAGTAGTGAATGGCCGCTGATGCTCAAAAAGGTGTATATAACTAGACTTTGGAAATTGAACGAGTTCAATTTCAGACTCCAGATTCAGACCTTTTTAGCCGAGTCATCCAAAATAAGCCGAGTCATCCAGAATAAGCTGAGTCATCCAGAATAAGCTGAGTCATCCAGAAAAAGATGGATGTATAAAATAGGAAGGTAGGATAGGATAGAATAGGAGGGGACGATAGGATAGAATAAGAAAGAAGGATAGGATTGAATAGGAAGAAAGGATATGATAGGATAGGATAGGAAGGAAAAGATACGAAGGAAGGATAGATAGGAAGGATAGGATAGGATCAGATAGGAAGAATGGATGAATTTTTCAATATTTTCTTCTCTACTCTTGACTTTCTATCAGGATACCATCAGATCGATTTTCCGAAATTTCAAAACGCCATTACTTCCGAACCGGCAGTCAGATCGAAATTTAGTTTACAGATTCGGATTCCTGACAAAATTCTACCCCTAATTCATAACTCATACGTTAAATTTGGAGATTTTTTATTTTGACCTACTTTTTGGACACGCCATAACTTCCTAACTGGAAGTCGGATCGAAATTTGGTTTGCAGATTCGGATTCCTGACAAAATGCTACCCCTAATTCATAACTCATACGTTAAATTTGGGGATTTTTTTATTTCGACCTACTTTTCGGACACCATATCTCAAAAGTGGGTCAAAATACTTTCTGACGGCAAAAGGCTAACACTATTAGCACACTCTTGGCTACATGTATACACAATTTCAAAGAATATAATTGAAGTGTAGTGTCAGAATCGCAAAAATAAGGAAAACCTTTGAATTTGACCTAGATTTTGACCTAGGCATTTTGGTGTCCAAATTTTGAAACTAACTGGCTTTTGAGGTCCCCTTCTTTTGAAGGCTTTCATTAAATTAAGCTGAACTCAGTCTATATTTCGTATTTCTCACTTCAAAAAAATCTTTTTTCCCATTGACTTAACATGGGCACCAAATTTTAGAGCTTTTAAAACGCCATAACTTCCGAACCGGAAGTCGGATCGAAATTTGGTTTGCAGATTCGGATTCCTGGGGAAATTCTTCCCTTAGTTCATAACTCATATGTTAAATTTGAAAAACCTCTAATTTCGACCTACTTTCTGGACGCCATATTTCAAAATTGGTAAGAGTAATCAAAAAATGGATGGCACATCATGAAAGGGCTGTTTCTAAGCTACATGATGAAAAAAAGACAAGGACGTTTCGATAAATAACAACGAAGATAATGGACAGAAGGTTGAAAATTTAAGATTTGACCTAGTTCTTGACCTTTGACCTAGATAAAAAAATTGACCCAATTTCCCACCAACTAGATACTGAACCTAAATGAACTGTATAATGGTCTTTACTGGATACCTTATAGTTATAGAAAAATCGTCTAAAGAATAATAAAGAAGAATACTGGCAAAAACAATAGACTCCAGATTGACATCTGGAGTCTAATAATTATACCATAATTAGGTTTATGAAATTATAAATATGTGTAATATATATATATATATACTAGCCAGAGGAAAACATACCAGCCAGACTTAGTAGGGTGGCCGCGAAAGTTTCACGTGGTGAAAGCGTAATTAGATCATTATTTAAACCTTGCAATTAAAACAGTGGCTAAAACAGATTGTTTTATTTTTAACCGATGGTTTGGCCCCAGCGCGCGTCAATTTGTATGTGTGTGTGTGTGTGTGTGTGTGTGTGTGTGTGTGTTTGTGTGTGTGTGCTAATCATAAAACAGTCTAAAGTTTAATAAACTACCTTAACACGGTTGGAAAACACTTGTATGGTTTACAGCTGTAGGTTTGGTCAGTTTGCGAGTATGTATGGTGATGTGTTAATATGTATAACAATTCTGATGTAAGGTCTTGCGAGTATGTACATTAGCTTTGATTATCACCGGGATCGTAATCTGTTCGAATGTTAACAAGCTGTGTTTACGAGGCGTTTAAAACCATTCATACAAAGTTGGGCCGTTATCAGCGTTATTCGAAATATGGTCCTTTGGTCAGTCATAAAATGGTAAAGCAATCTGTGATACTCAGATTAAATAACTTCTATTTACCTATTTGCCGATGCTTACTAAATATTTAAAAATACCCAAACATGTTTACTTTTGCGTGTGACTGTAGCCCCTTTGAAGTTTATTCGACTGTTAGTTTGTTGGTCACAGCGCAGTATAATACCACAGGCTTGCTCGAATATCTTTAAAATGGCTTTAAAAATAACCTGTTTGTTTGTTCTTATTGCGATATTGGCTGGAGCACGCTGTATTCGTTCGGACGCTTGTCAGTGTGAGGAGTGTGATACGTGCATCTGTGTTTACGGGATTATTGGCGTAATAGCGAGTTGTGAAATTGATGAACAGTGTCTTAGGGTCTCACAGACGGTTGTCGTGATCGGTGGGTCCTGTTTTCAGCCGGGGGTATCCGAACCCTGTGAGTATTTCTGTAGTGTTAACTCTGTAACTTAAGCTAGTTATTAAAAAACAAATTTTTGTATATTTCGCATTTGAAATGGATCCGGGCAGGTTGGTTGATTGATTCGTAGTTTTAAACATTTAACATGAACTGGGGATTTGATTTGCCGTGCTTTTGAAATTGGTTGCCTTATATGCTTTCTAGCCACTACCCGTAAACCCCACGAGTATAGTACGGGTGTTGATGGCGCTGCGTACAGTACAAGTTGGGTGTCCCCCGAGCAGAATACTACAACTTCCGAGCTTACATCTAACCCGTGGACCGAGACGAGCCCTTCAACTCGGTCTGGCTTGGATATGGGGACGACTCAAAGCAGGGTGTCTGTCGGTAGTTCAACTTCTAATGACACAGCTGGGGACCAGGCAACCGTTTGCTGCGTCCATGTTACTACGGTCGAAACGTCATCGTTCATGCTCCCCAGCAACACGAACAATGATAAACAATATGTCAACACCGGTCTAACTGTGGGCCTCAGTGTGACAGGACTATGTGTTTTTGTGAGTGGTTGTATCGCCCTCTTTGTTTGCTTTAAGAAATTCAAAAAAAGTGCGGCTGGTCAAAGGACTGTAACAGCTTTGGAATTGGGGTCGATATATAACAAAACAACCTGTGTTTAATTCGACTCCTAATACTGCTACATACATGTGTGTCAATATTCCGAGATGCGATCTCCTTAAGATTCTAAAATAAATATGTTAATGTGACAATGAGGCCGTATAAACGACTGTGTTTGTGTGTGTGTGTGTTTGTTTTATAATTACGCGTTTGCATATCTGACCGTGTTAGATAGCATCCGTGCACTTAGTGGTAATCGGGCCCCGGGCGCTTAAATGTCTGTTGTGATTGTCATTGTATTGTCCCTTTAAACTAGGGGCTCCCCAAGGCGTATGTGATAAGGCGATCTGACCTTTAAAAATGGGGCTAAATGGGGTTTTGGAGTACTTAAAAACGAACAAATGTGGCAAATCAATCCTTGCAAAATGACAATTTTGCGCATTTATCGGACTGACAAGTGTTTCGAGAGTGACAAAAATAGATAATTCGTTCTGAATGTAAATTGATGCTAGTTAAGATGACTTATTCTAACAAGCAATCAAACAATGGAACATAACATACTATTTCGTGCATTAATTATTTTGACTGACTAAAAAGGAAAGAATCTGCCAAAATATGACAAGTAAATTTTAAATGTGCCAAAGTGAGAATTTTGGAATCTTAAAATTGACAAAAGCGACCCCACTACCCCCTCTTGGGGGGCCCTAACAAGCAAGGCGCAACGTTCGATTATTCAAGGTATAATCCAGACCGGGGTGGGGTCATTCTTATAACCATGTCGCATGTGTGCGGTACGTTATGTGTATGCAGTGAGAATATGCATTATATCAATTGCGAGAGACAGTCGATCTGCTCGGACTTAGAGGAAATCCTGAGGCGAGGTGTAATAGGGGGTAACTGCGCCCTGGGTTCGACCCCCAGCGCCGTGGCTGAATCCGGAGAGGTGACCGGGCTGTATACGATCCCTCTGGTGATAGTTGGGGTGTTCACATTCGTGGTGCTAGGTACGTCTCTATGTAGGCATTGATTTTGGCGAATTCGTGGTACGAGCTTAATACATGTAATACCCTGCTTTGTAATTAAGATCTAGACTTTGTAATTAAAGCACGTGTTCGGGCGGTACTGCTATCGGTAGTGAATTGCACAGGGAAAAAGTATTCTTAAAATGTTGTACTATAATTTCAGTTGCGGCCCTGTGTCTATATTGTGTCTGGCGGGTTGGAATGATTTGTAAAAACCGCGTTCAAGCTCCCTACACTAGAGCACCACCTAGTGAGACCCTGGGTGTGGCGTTTGAGCTCGATGGGACGCAAGAGGAGCGCCAGGCTATTGCAGACTTTGTGGGGGCTTCGTCAGACGAGGAGGTCGTGTTTGAGTAAGTACATTTTATGCTAAGACAGTGGGAGGGTATAAACTACCGGGCAAACGGGCTACATCGCTATTGTCGGGAGGGGTGAAATTCATCTGAATAATGCGTCTACATTTTACAGTAAGACCGACTCGTGGCGACCTCTTTAAATGGAACTATGATTTAACGTCTACTAACTGTAATCATGTCCTTTGTTTTGTGTACACGTGTAGTATAATAACAAACACTTTATAGATTGTTGAAATGACGCATTTGTTTATTTTGGTATGTGAAAACTATTCACAACTAATATAAGATGTGCAATTTGTGTATTTACAGCGTTTCCAGTGTGTGAATGATACGGGGACCGTACGAGACCAACTGTGCAGACAAGGCTGGTTAATATAAAGGACTTTAGTGACTGAAAGACTTGTACATAGTTGTAAATAAACTCTTAGTTAATCGTGAACCACGTGGTTGAGGACGGTTAAAGATGTACATAGTTTTACTACCAGAGTCTGATATGGAGCTACATGTGTGTTACCTGTTTATGAACATATAGCTAAAGTGGGCGCTTGGTTCATGCCCGAACGCTGGAGGCTTTTACCCAGGCACAAATTGTCTCTCTGTGTATATGAATGCATAACATCTGAAGTTTTTTTACTTTTTAATAAAATTGTTTGTAACCTTACCCCAGGAATGTTAAGTCATTATTATTTATACTCGCATTGGAGCAGAGTGGCGATATTCCGTGCCCTGGTTACCCTTTTAGCCCGTCTTCGTGAAGGTGCCTCATATGTGAGGGCGGGATTCTTTCTATACACACGCCATCGCGTGTGTCTAACCACCGTATCGAATGACGGCGTTTGCATCAAAGACATAGGCGGGGCTGTGTGGTCCAATCGGTAAGTCGGCGAATAAATCGTCCTCACCGCCCGACATTCGCGGTCGTAGTTCGACCCCCTTTCAAACAGGGACCGCTGCATAATAAATGTCCTCCCCACGAGTCTAGCCGTCGGCATTCGCCGGTTACAAAGTTGGACCAAAGCTATGCCCCACCTCACCATGGCTGTGTTGTAACAGGTCGTATAGGGTAGCTCTAGGTACGAGTGGTGAAGGAAGTGGGGGTTTTCTACATTAGCCTGAAATGAATACCACAATCGATTATTTACATATCCAGAGTACTGCATTTTAAAATTGTAAAGTCCTCTTTCCTATAATTAACCGGGCTTTTATCTGAAAGAGTTGCTTTAAATGCAAAATGAAACATCCGGAGTTTGGTGTTTAAAATTATAAAATCGTCCTCCCCCTTATTAACGAGGTTTTATTCTAACGCTTTAAAGACAGGGGAACAAAAATAAATAATTACCGTTCGTGCGACCTGTGTCAACGGTGAGCGGACCCCCTTGGAAAACGCTTTGTAAACATCCTCATCCAGAGAGTCCATGTCATCTAGACGTATACAACAGTTGATACCCATCGGCCAGGCCAGTTGTACCCCCAGCGAGGCCTTTAATCTATGGAGTATATTGGCAATGGAGTGCGTTCCCCAGCTGTTGCGGGTTGTGCTCTTCACCTGTAGTTTGAAATAGAGCTCATCGTAGTCCCCCTCGTCATCCTGGTCCTCCGGGATGTCGTTTGATTCCTCCATGCCCATGCAAGTGGAAACAAATTTTCTTTTGTATCGTCGTCGTATCCCCTCTCCATTCAAAACGTTGCTCACGAGTGTGTACGTCAGCTTCAGACCATTTAAATCTGAGCTGAGTACCCCAGTGACGGCCTGTATAGCGAGGCGCCAGTCACACATATTTGCAGGTGGGTATAGGTAAAAGCTAATCTCCATGGATGCTGCCCGACTCGTGTCCAATTCTAGGTCATTGACCTCGAATGTCAACACCTGATTGACCAGCCTAAGACTTCTATTGCTCAGTCGTCCGACCAAGTCGGCCCTCTCCACGGCCTGAAGGGCGCACATCTTGAGAGTGAACGGCATGTACATGTTCAGTTGTGTTTGTAGATTTTGCTGTCGCTCGAAAAGGTTGGCTAGTGGGACTATGTCGTCTTTGGTGGAACACCTGATAGCATGACTACCCTGTTCCGTATTTATACACGGTACACTCTGCAGAGGGGTTGGGATTGATACGGGCCAAAGTGGTCTTATCAGTCGTGTACCAGCGGTTGTGTTTCGAGTTAAGAACGCTTGGGAGTGGGGTCTGAGCGTGCTATTCGGCCAATTTAGAATCACCTGCCAAACGATCTCTAGTTGCCGTGGACCAAAGGAGCCAATTCTTTACTGTTTTGCTAGTTGGTAAGTTTTATAATAAATTAATTTGTGATCGAATTGATAAAACCAGCTGTTGTCGTGCGATATCGAATTGTGTCTAATGGTTGAGGGAACTAATTCTCTACTGCCTCGCTACTTGGGATCGTTTATAACAAATTAATTTGGCTGTGTCGACCCGTGACATGGTGTGGCTTTTACTTAATCACCCGCCGACAACCCTACGTTCGGTATTATATCGATTACACGTCGCCGGAAATAGACCAGTATATAAGTACATCGCGACGTCTGTGCGGACATTCGTTCACTACTACCGGCTCCGATTGGTCGTGTATTTCTAGCAACTAGGACGATCAGACTTTTCAGCCAAAGTGACTTGTGGAAACGTTGGTTTAACAATGGATTCTTTCGTGATGGATCAATTGAACGAGATGGATAACTTGAGCCAGCTTAATGATTTTATTCGCCGTCATGAGTTGGAGAATTGTGAGCGAGCCTTGTTCATACGATGGCTTATGCTTCGCATCAAAAACGTGATCGTAAGTATTTTGTGGTCTGTAGGTGTGTGGGCGTCCTTAAGTATGCGGGCGTTCGTGGGTATGCGGGCGTCCAGGGGTATACGGGCGCCCGGGGTATGTGGGCGTTTGTGGGTACGGTGACGGCCATGTAGATTTAGCCAAGGTCGATTCGCCTGAAAATTGTAAACAGCAACTCACTAGAGAGAATTATGCTTTATAGAGATTTATTTTCGACTTATATTTAGTGTGCTGGTTGTTTTTTAATACATTCAAATTATACTCTTATCTTTTTTCATACTCTACAGGAGGAGGTTGCGTGGGGGTCTAGTCAAATACCGGAGGACGTTCACGACGTGTCGGACGCTATGCTTTTTGACTTTGACGACACTGACTCACAGCTTTGTTCTGCACAGGACGACTTTGAAAATGACATTGACATAACACTGCTCCGTTTTGATGACGGCTTTAATACTCGTGTTGACTCCAGCTTTACTAGACTAATTCAACTGGCCATTCATAATTCTCTTCCAAAACACTACATTAATAGGACAATTAGGGAATATAGGCAGGCCAGGGGGTACCGGAACCAGATAGGTCGCGGTCGTTTTGACGGTCCAGCTGACGGCAAGGTTCGGCCACGCCAGTCAGACGCGCGAACCGGAAATAGCGACCCCGAGGGCTACATTCAAATTGAACATCCGGGTGACAGCGAAAATTCAGATTCTGAAGAGACTGACCATATACGCCTCGAGGTACCTGGCGACGACGACGACGACGAAACCGCCGAACACAACACCATCGATGGTGATGACGCCCCCGTGCGAGACCGCCCCATTACTGACTTTTACGAAAAAACCGGCGTTTCCAACAGACATCACAGGGGTTTGAACGTGGATGAAGTAAACCACGCGTATCGGTTAAGAATACCCGAATTTCTCTCATTTCCGGAATTGTTAGAGCATTTGCATCGGCTCTTTAACCACATCATTTTCAGCGAACTGCTAGCTGATGTCGATGATACAGACTATGTGCGATTTCACGTTGACAATGAGTCGTTTAGGGAGCCTCTTAATACGCCTTTGCTGATAAAACACGAACTGACGGCCGGTCGCCTCCTGGACATGATTGAGGCTATTATTCAAAGCAATCATGAGGTTCTTCTGACTGACACTTTTGTATTTAATGTTATCATTGTACGTAGCCCTGTATTTGGTCTCTACAATGCCCGCGACTTCCATAAATTTGCTCGTCAATCGCGATGTGTGATCGAGATTCAAAACACGGATAATTTGTGCCTGGCACGCGCGATTGTAACTGCTATCGAATGGCGCAAATTCACGGCCCTTGAACCTGGACAACGGACCCCCGAACAAAAAGCATTGTGGAATAGTGTACGACACGGTCGCTTGGAACAAACTCGATTGGCCTCGAAACTTCATGCGGACTCTCAGACCCCTCTACCTCGTGAAGAGGAATTATGCAACATGGAACACCTTGCAAGTTTCCAGACATTCTTAGCCAATACGTATCAAATATACGTGTTCGGGGAAGACAGCAGTAAAACACCGGTAAGTGTACAAATATAAAAATGGTTTAAATAGGCTAACGCTTCAACCGTGTACTACACTCCGTAATTCTGTCTCTACATGAACGAATGTCTGACCCTATATGCTCAAAAGTCTGGTCCTACATGACCGAAATTCTGACTCTAAATAAAAGAAAGTCCGACTCTACATGTTCGAAATTCTACTCCTGTGTATACAATCTAAATTCTGGCCCTAAATGGTGGACTTGTTTGAGGCCTTATTTTGTCACCTAATTCTCGTGAGATTTGTGTTTTATTTATTTTTATTTTTTTTTCAGATCTTCAAAGGAGCTCCAGCCTTAGAAGACCCTACTCAGCACATATACCTCTACCACTACGACCAACACGTCGCAGTCATGAAAACCCTCGTGGGGTTGTTCAAGAGTCGGTATTACTGTTTCGAATGTAACGATGGTTACAACAAGCCAGTAAACCATCGATGCCTAGGGATATGTCGGTATTGCGAGGTCACGAGTGCAGAATGTAGGGGTCGTTCTGTCTCCAAGGAGTTCCACTGCCCAGAATGCGGTCTTCATTTTACGGGTCGGCAGTGTCTGCTCAACCACAAGAGGCCGTCTGAATTGACCGGGAAGGCAAAGTGTAACGTCGTGTTTTACTGCGATCGTTGTCACCGTGTAGCTAGTAGAACAGAACGAGAAGTCAACGAGGCGACGGGTAAACGCCAGACCGTTGGATACCGCTGCTACGACCGTGTGTGTAAAATATGCAAGAAAAAGGTACAAGCCGAACACAGATGCTTTGTGCAACAGCGTACCGATCTAAAAAGGCAGAGTGAAGCATATTTCGAGTCGCAGCGAGGTGGTGCGATTGTACATGACAGCGACGAGAGTGATGATGAGTCCCAGGGTGTCGATGTTCACGATTTCGGGGGTATGTATTCAGGCGACATTCACTGGTGGGTTTATATGGTTCGGGTATAATAAGGGTGTTATTTCCTCGATTCCCGATGGTCTACTGACAATGTTGTGTTTTCTGTCTCTATTGGACAAGTTTCTGTTACATTTTAGAACCTATCAACGGTGACCAGTCTGGAAATAGAAAGTCAAAAGGGCTCCAGGGTTACATATTCTTCGATATTGAGACACGGTGTGACAACACGACGCAGCTACACGAACCGAACTTAATTGTGGCTCAAAAGTGTTGCATTAAACATTGTCTCGATAAGGAATATAGAGCCCCTGATGATCAGTTTTGTGTCAAATGTGGTACTAGACAGATGGTGTTCTTTGGGGATGACTGTACCACAGACTTTTGTATGTGGTTATTCAAACCGGAGCATAGGACAT